AGACGTTGGAGCACGGCCTCGATGGGAAGAAGCAGATCCGCGGTGGTGGCTGCTATCGTTGTCGCCAGAGCTGCCACACGGCTAATCTCCTATCCTCCATGATATGACGAACAGCGAACCGTTCGAAAATAGCTGCTTCACAGCAGCATCCATCGCATGAAAGTACAAGCATATGGGCAGGATGGGTAGTGTTAACAAGAGCTATCACGCCCAGAGTTATTACAAGCTTCGCTTGCTCCCAATCACTCCTGAGTGTTGTTACTCGTAGAGTTCAAGGGCAGCAGCAGTAGCTGCACGTTCATGAGCGGAACAAAGCATGGGGGGCGGAGTAGGCACATGGTTAGCAGAAGCTACAGCTCGTGCATGGCGAGCCTGGTGACGATTTTCACGAGCAAGCGCCTGCTCTGTGTTCTCTTAGAGGTATAACTCTGAGAAGCGGACACTTTGGGCAGCTGTACAGCATCAGTATGCACCGACCGAGCGCCCGCGCTGCTTCCCCGAACAGGAATCAGCGATTGTGCTACATGGTTGATAGCAGGCGTATCGCAACGCACACCTCGAGAGGTGTTGATGGTCCTTGGTGCGACTGAGCGCACACCAGAACGAGCACTAGAGCTGCTAGGCAACTGCGAGTGCGGAGGGGTGGTGTACAGCGTCAGAGAAATGACAGTCCCGTCAGCAAAAGATGGGACAAGAGACACATAAGCGAGTGTCGGTCCTATTGTGACTGAACGCACATCCGAAGTTCCTAGTGCGACTGAACGCGCATCGGAGGGTTGAAGAAGAGCTCCTATTGCGACTGAACGCACATCAGAGGGGTGGGTGGCTACTACAAGCGGAACCAGTGGCCACCACCACATCATCGCCAGAAACAGCAGTCTCAAAGGAGACGGAGATGTTCCGGTGGGGGTATGAACGGCATCAACAGCAGAACCAGTGGATACAAAGGGAGCAGCCGGTTTACGCGCACGCACACTACTCCGGGCTATAGCCCCACGAGCACGCTCATCCTCTTGGAAAGAGCGGACACGCCGGGCCTCAGCGCGAAGCTCAGACAGACGTGCGGCCTCTTCTTGAAGATCAGCGGCGCGAGCACCAACACCATCATGCGGTGCATACAGAGCGTGGTCGAAAAAGGCCGAGGCGACTGCAGGATTAAGTATGTGATATAGCTGGCAGCGCCTCTGGCGAACAAGGCGGTGGGGGAGGAACCGACTGCAGAGAACTGGCAGGGCTGGCGGACTCTGAGTCCTCGCTGCCGTCCCTACGATGAGACATACCAAGAAAGGAAAGCAGGAGCAAGACCGCGCGGTAGAGATGTAGCCAGTGGAGCAAAAACGAGCTCTCACGCTAACAAAAGAGAAACCAAAGAGCCGAGGGAAAGCTAAAATCCTTTACTGCAGACGACGCCAAATAAATGTTGTGGGATTACACGCGTAGCGATCCCTGAAGACCCTGATGAAGACTCACTTGTTTATTACTCTCTTGGAACAGCAGTGCTTGCTGTTGCCTTGCTCTCAAAGGTAGACTGAGCGCAGAGAGGGGGAGGACATGCTCCCTCTAAAAGGGGCCACAAAGGTCCTGTCCCCTGTTTTATCATTCCATCGGGAGTACATCTCCCGCACTTTCCTCTCGGAATTAATTACTCCGCAATATAATACCGTTGGCACTGGCTACATTCAAATCCCATAACAAAGGGCTAAACTATTCCTCTACTTCTATATGATAAGCTGCCTTGACTTAATGAAGAGTAGACTATTGAATAGTTCCTCAAGAGACGGATTCGGTCTCTGCAGGTGTCTGTCCGCCATACGACTGTATATACAGCAGTACATATATAAATCCGATTAGTGATTGATTGCCTTTGAAAACACTCAATCAACCAGGTTTGTTTTTGTAGCACAGCAGTGTAGTCCCCAAAAAGACGGATTTCAGACGATACCATTACAACAGTAGGTAAACTATTTCTCTATTAGATAGACTACTCGTCCAAAACGCGAAAGTGTTCCTTTCGAAAGGGCTACACTATCCCCCTATATGATAAGCTGCCTTGACTTAGATGAAGAGTAGCTCTTCAATATTTCCTGTAAGAAGAGACGGATTCGGTCTCTGCAGGTCTCTGTCCGCCATTACGACTGTACTTTAGTACAGGGATCCACAGTACTACGGTACGGTGCCCACCAGCCCCTGGGGCGGGATAGCAACAGGGATATAAGTACTTGGAAGGAGTTGTTTACTAATCCTCTTGTGTGCAACACGACACAGACCACGCCGCCGCCCAACAACAACAACGACAACGACGACGACGACCTACAACGTTTTGTTTTATACGTAGGTACAGATTGACCGATCGGGGAGTTTATTTTCACCGATTCGGTTATTTTGGGGGTCGATGCGTAGGAATACGCTCTCAATGACACGCACTTCCGCCCGTGGACGCACACGTCTGACGGCAGTTACATCTGTCAGCTGTCGCTCGTTGTAGCGACAACTATCCTTTATTTTTTGGGAAGTTGGCCACGCGCGAAGAACCCTACATGAAATAATCAAATAAATGCATTTTTTTGCGTCCATCCTGACAGAGGAAACAGGAATCGAGACTCGGGGCAAAATAAGAGTTCAATGAACCGCGGTTTCAATGTAACCGTGTCAGTCTCCAGCCATGCGTGACTCGACACAACCTCGCAGTTTTCTCAGGTCCCCATCATATGCACGAGTCGCTCCAATGAGCCAGGTGTCACCCCTGCGTCACGGTCTGGTTTACGTTCTCTCCACGAGCGAAAAATCAAGCCTCCTTCTGTCATCGGTCTCTACAATACGCGTAAAAAAGAGCGGCGAGCGCCACATTTAGCACGTCGGCGGCAAGTTAAACACGTATACACTCCTGAAGAAATGACGCACAACAGACTGGGGCTATCACAACACGCACGCACGCACCACGCCTTGTTCGTGCACGGAGCGACAACAATTATGTAGTCTCAATAAAACATATATAGCCTATTCTCAGCGTGCGATGTTTCCTTCCTAAATTCACGTTAAAGTAACTCAGTCAAGCACAGCGCGGGGCAGTGTAAAGCTCAATCGTGAAGCAAGTACCAAGACACCCTACAAGGAACAAATTGTGCTTTTGCACAAGGAATGTCGACAAACAACTGGCAAACCTGTAGCCGGGGTGTGTGAGGCCTCGGACGAACTTCCAGGATTTCTCTCAAAACAATAACAGACCTGTTGCTTGCAATAACATAAACGGTCACGTACCCAAACGCCGACGAGGGATATCCACCTGGGATATCCACCTGCGTGTTCATCACTCTCTCTCTCTCTCTCTCTCTCTCTCTCTCTCTCTCTCTCTCTCTCTCTCTCTCTCTCTCTTTCTACCGTACGTGTCCCCTCTGTGCCAATACGCTAACACCGAGCGACACCGGAAACGGCATTATACACTGAAAACAGCTCCTCGCCGTGCCCCCCCAGGTACGAATCCGTTAGAAAGTCGACAATGATGCGCCGGAAATCCTTGTGGTAAGTACTTAGCAATCATCAAATGCTCGGCGGAGTCTGCTCGCCATGCCGTGTTGTCAGGAGCAGAACCCCTCGTATTGAAGGAGGCCAACATCTCCTGTGTGGACTGCCTTCGTTTGCGTTGTGTGACCCAGGCTGGTGCGTCCAGGAATTTGTACCCAGAAAGGTGTAAGGACCCACGTTCAGAGTAACGGGATGGCAAACAAACAACAAATCTTAGTTATTCACATTATACAGCAGCGGTCGCTGCGATTGCTCATGGCGCGACGTCCTTCCAGACGCAGTACGGAATTCCTTCTCGAGTGCTGACCCGGAAAGGTCAACGAGATCGGAAGCCGTCTCCAGCGTCTGGACGAGCTGGGAGTCAAGCTTGCCCTATCTCCGTGGTGGTGTTGGTCTGCAAACGTGAGGCACATCGTTTGCACGCTGGTCAGAGAAAAACGATGCTACGGGATGGGGGCAAACGGGTGGACGCTATACTGTAACACTGCTGTTCCCTCGCAGTGAGGTCTACTTCTCGCGTGGCAATAGCATACAACGAACAGCATCAGAGGGGCGTATCATGCATGGTCGCCATCCTCGTGCTTATTTTCGCCGCTTCGGAGGACGCCTGGCCGCATCAGTAGGCGAGGCTGCATACCACTAATACCCCCCCTCCGTAACCTCGGTTCTCGCGTGGAAACAAAGTTAAGCTATCCTGCCGGAGAGGAAAAAACGCCAACAAACAACCGCGCTCTCCACCAAGAACGCCCACCCACGGCAGGCGGTGCTGTGCCACACGAGGCTATACCACGGATACCCAGGAGCCCAGGGAAGACAACGAGGAGGTCAGAGGACAAGTACGTGCAAGCGGTAGGCGGGACGTGCAACAAGGGTGTCCAGGTTTGCCACAACGTAGTAGCTTCACCTTCCAGATTTCCAGCGGCGGCTGAGCCTCTTCCCCCGTAAGCGCGAGCGACGATGTTCGCGATGGGCCGGGGAGCTGCCCACTTCGGCCTAACACGGTCTTGTGATACCCAGTGGAGCTGGGAGGCGAGGTGGCGGTCCGACAAGCATACCAATGAACGCGAAATCTGCACAGGCAAGCAAATCAGGTGCAACGCGATGTAAGCCTTTCAAAACGGGGCCAAGCGCAGCATCGAAATTGTTCTTGAGGGGGACGGACAGGCGACATTTTCACACGCTCGGCGCGAAGGTCAGGTTTTGGAAACGAACCCCGTGGGTACCTTCGCCGACCTTGGCTTAGCCCCACCTAGGTGCCTTCACTTCCGCACTGTCGTGTGGAAAGAGCGTGTAAAAAATGCCAAACCTGCATCGTGACGCTTGGGAACCCAGACGACTGCACTCTCTACTTACTACTGTCGATTCGGTATCGGGAAAAACATGCCTCCAGCAGGTGCGAAACGTAGACTATTAACATGAAAGTTCGACCGTCTGCAGTTTGTTCTGTACACCGATCAAACGTTGTCAAATCCACTCGCTCAGCCCATGACACTTGCCTTATGAACCCGCGCCTCTAGCCACGCACCCCCGCCAGAACCGCCGTGGCACCAAAGCTCCGCCCTAAAACATCAACAGCAGTGGAAATAAAAAACGATGACAGCAGCGGCATTGGAACTGCTTGCTAGACGGAGAACTGGTCAAGGGCTTGATATTTTCCGTGCAGATTTGGGGCCGGCATGCATGGTGTGAAAGGGGGCTTGCTTGACAAGAATCGAGATGCACACGCGGTGGCCTGCATGTGTCGCTCGCCCAGGCCGACACAAGCGACGAATTGGACAGCTTGGTGCCGTTGCATGCGACAGCTATTTAGTGGTAGGCGGCTGTGGTAGCTGGGGGGCAACGGGGTCGTGAGGCGTGTGACTGACGAGCTACATGTGAGTGGGACCGCACGGAAGGATGGATCTCCAACGTGAAGGAAACAAGAGCGAGGCAACGTGGGGATGCACCTACTACATCAACAGATTGTGCCACCGTTTAACGTAAACCTTATATTTTACCCGAGGCTCATTTCAAGCTCTCTATTGGACAACCCGGCATCTCCTGACCGTAACCCTGGGCTCTTGTGTAAGATTCCAAGCACCTCTTCTTACGGTACTAATACTTCGGTACTATGTAGTGAAGTCTTCCTAGGGTCTCTAACGGTGACGCATTCGACCATTCAAGCGCAAGGCTCACCAACCAACGGCTGTGGCTATCGCCCTAGGCCACACATCCCACTCTAGCCGAATGCGAGCCCACTCACTCTTGGTCCACCTCCAGCTCTGGTCCAGCCGACGCTGACGTCTGTCCACACGCCTCCGTGGGCATCTTTCGTGCCCAACGAACCCTAACAAGATGCAGAAAAACAAAATGGGTTTACACACCAGGGGCAGGGAGATGAGAGAGGCACAGAAAGCGCGGTACGGGGTGTACTCATAGTCGTGCATGCCGTAGTCGTTAGACCATTGACCTCGCATCCCTACAAAGCCGGGACGGAGCAAGCCGGGTTCTCATCGGACCAGGCTCTCACATCACCAAGCGCGAAGCGCCAAGAGGTATTCGGCGAGTCGCATGAAGGGTGCGCTGCATCCTGCGAAGGGTGTTCGGCATCTTGTGCTTACTTCCTTGCGTACGGATGACAGCTGCGTATGACTTAATTTATTTTCTGGTGCTTTCACTTCCATAGACAGAGTTGTAAGCACTGTGTAACTGCCTCGAGAGTGCTTGATCAATTTAACACAACGTGGTGCGTTTATCCCCTTTGCGCGGAGTGAGGGTTCTCGACCCCGCACAACATAATCTACTCGACCACCATTCATGGTTACCGCAAAAGAAAACAAAGGCAAAAAAAAAGCGGTAACCTGGTTGCCGAGCTCACGAAGTGATCGGTTTGTTCTACAACATCGCCGCCAAGCGACGAAAACCCAACCCCGACGGCAAACACCGGGGGGGGCGTCTTGTTTTACAACGTCGTTGCCAAGAGACGAAAACCCAACCCCGATGGCAAACACCGGGGGGGGGGGGGGTACGGGGGTTGGGCGGGACGAAAGCCTTCAGTTGATTTGCCGCCGGTGTGCGGAGCAGTGCCTGCTCCATCAACAGTACAAAATAAAAAGTGTTCAAAATGTGACTGGACATAAGAGTCAGGCATCATGGCGTGCAAGTGCTTCCGTATGTTCAGTTTGGCCGTGAAACGATGCCCTTCTGAATACGGCAGGGTGACCAACGACGAAATCTCTCGGAGGAGAAAGCAAGACTACGCGAGACTAGACTGCACGCATACGCAGTGTCGTAGACTGATACAGGGAGGAAGTTCATTTTGTCAAACCGCTCCGAATCTTGCCAAGAGTTTGCGTCGTCCCACAGTCAATGGTACACCTTGGCGATCGCTGTCGCCACTTTGCAATGTTGGTAAACCAAGCGCAACCAGTATTGCAATCACATCCGTAAAAGAAAAGCGTACAACAATTCCCGTCTAGCGTGTTGGCCCAAACGGAAGGTATCACGGTAATCTCCTCGCAGATAAAAAAGAATAAACGAAGCTGGGCCAGATACATCACTTAAATTCGTTGCTACTACAACTTACTCTGGGCGCTGATCTGTGGATAAGAGACGAATTCGGTGCGTTGCTGTAAGAAAAAAAAAAAAAGAGAGCCGCCAGCACCTGGAGGGCTCCAACCACTCGTCCCATCGCCTGCTCCACGAGCGGTAGTGCACGAGGAACCGCTTAGGCCGCCTCTCGCCCATGCAGGTCGCGCCTCTCCGATCGACTCTGCCGTCCTCTCCATCCTCGTCGTCAGGGGTGGTACAGGGGAGACTCTCGCCGAGCTCGACGGCCACTACCTGGAAGATACAGCGTCCGGGCGATGGCACGCGTTGCTGGAGGATACGTCAGAAGCATGGGGAACCTCCCTCCCTTTTTCGATTCCTTTCTTCTCGTTCGATTCTCATGTTACACCGGATACACCGGCTGCAGTGATACGCGACTTTTACGTGACATCTACGCAGGTTGGATAGTGCGCGTGCTTCCCGATATAGTGTGAGTGAAATTGGCTGGTACAGATGTGGCAACCATGATGCTTAATACATTGAACAGCGCCGGTGGAAGCGCAAATACCCGCAATACCGCCGGCCTCTCAGCGTATACTAGTTTCCCCGAGAGCAACACATGATACAACGGTACAGCAGCGAGAGCCTACGTGCCGAACCTTAGCGTCCCACCACGACAGCCCGACGAACACCATGCAATCGTCCAGCCTGAACTTTCCCTTCCAGGCCACCTGAGGACAGCACGAGAGAGTGCCATGGCATGACGAGACCAACACTGACGAAAGCCCGTGAGCGAGCGGCATACCGGCAACCGACTAACTCGAAGGAATATCTGGCCGTGTGAAGTTAAGACCTGTTTGGAACTGGCCCCAAGGGTTTGTATGCATAATCAAACGGAGGTGACTACTTACACCGTGGGAGGCGTATTCTGAGACCGAAACAACACCAAGTGTCTCGCTAGGGGGACAAGACCGTTGGTCATTAGCTGCACCGGTGTAGTACAATATAGATCGGCCATGCACAAGAACGGACAAGAAGTCAGAAAAAAACATCAACCATCACCGGGAAAATGCCGCACTGGCCCCTTCCCGCAGCTCCTCGCAGTATCACTTACGACTTGGTCGCACGCAATGGTTGACATGTCGGAATACCGTTTCTCGTAACATTCCTCGGGTAGGTCGCATAAGCGCCCTTCATTTCCCGTGCGGAACGACCAGCACAAGCGACGACCGCCACAACAACAGACTGACTGGCATGACGACCCCATCTTTCCCTGCCCCCCTTCTCCATCACCTCGACGTGATCCCCCACGACTGGACACGCCAGTCTCGAGCGAAAGGCGAAGCGAACCATCCCAGACCGCCTTTTGGATGCCGCTGCCGTGTCGCCGGGGTCGAGTCCGACGCGCTCGAATAGCTCAGGAAGGCTGGCGGCGGGACCGAACCTGAAAATAGCCGCAGAGAGATTCAATCAAACTGTACTCAGGGCCATCCGCGACAGAGACGCGAATCAGACACTTCATGAGAAGAACCATTTGGATGTAGAAGTTGTCATGAGAGCCATCAATCGACTGCACAGGACAATCCGCGAGATAGAACAGAATCAGACGTACAATAAGGAAAACATTTGGATGTAGAAGCCGTCATGAGAACATTCAATCGAATACACAGGACAATCCGCGAGAGAGAAGTCAATCAAAAGCATAGGGGAAAACGTCTTCACAGGCTACAGAGGAGTTACCTCAAGGTACGAGACTGCGGTAAGGACGTTCCGAGGGGGGGGTGGTGTACCATGTTTCAAAAGTGAGCGCTGGTTGTGTCGGCAGCTGCAAGTGCGATCATGGCCGTGCGGCTGCTGGAAGAAAGTGTGCAAATATGATGGTTATGGCACAACCCCGACAACACAGAATGTTCGAAGGATGAAGATGCGGCGGAGAAAATACGCTCGCGAGATATCATCGTAGTAAACCACTTTCGAATAAAAAAAACATTCCAGAAGAGAGATTTACACCAGTACACAGGACGTTCGTGCTATAGAAGGAAGCGCAGTTGTATACGGCGGCGGTGGAATATTCCATACCTTCGAGAGTATAGGGGGAGCCACATGAAGTCCGATCCCCCGATACGGTGCCAACGCCTGGAGACGGCCATAGCCTTACCGAGGTCTGGTCCATCCAACCATGACAACGAAGACGCCACCACGTCCTCGGGAGCATCGCTCAGGGTAGCCTTGTTCGACAACCCAACCGAGTGATCCAGCAGGGTGGCGGCAAAGGAAGGCAGAGCATGCGCACGACATTATTCCGGAGATTGGTTCGTTCAATGTTTACGGCCTCGTGTCGAGGACGTGATGGTAGCGTGGAGCTAGAGGTGGCGACTGGTGAAAGAGAAACGACCTGTTGAGACGACCAACACCAGCGTGCATCACAAGACAACACAACGCCGGTGATGGTGTGCAGCGCCAGATTGGCGTGAGCCTTGGGAATTTTATGGTGCACATCATCACTCCCTGCCGTGAATCTCAGGCAGCAAAAGATGCAAAACATGCAAGAGAGAACAGGAGAAATCGCTGCCCCCCTGTCCCCACGGACAAGAAGATACTGGCTCAGTCGATGGTCATTTCACGGCTTTGGTGTTGGACAACCATCGTATATAGGACATACCGTATATGACACAAGATAACACACCCCCTTGGCCGATTTTCAAAGCTCGATTTCTCAACAGCAGGAAGAGTCACAGCGCCGAAAACGGCAGCGTTGGAACCGTCTCGTCGAGAGCTGTTCGAAAACGTATTGTTTCATTTATGCATCCTCTTCGTCGTGGAGTAATCGAGCTTTGAAAATCGGTCCAGGGTGTGTGTTATCTTGTGTCATATACGGTAGTCGTACACGACATTTCAAAATGATTGCCAAGCTTGCAACAGCTTGGTGCAAGTACACTATTTAGATGGCCGTAATTCTCGGAAGCGGAATCGGAATCATTCGCCGTCACAACGAACACCGTACAATATTTACACGGCGGAATAGATATACTAGTCTACACATGTTGCAGTCGATCGCACCGGGCCGGCCGTCTGCCACAACGTAGCACCGAGACAGCGCTCCTGCTGGAGCTCGTGCCGGCTCTATATATGCGTTGGCCCTTCTGCTCTCATAAGCACGCAGGTGCGCGGAGGAAATCCAAAAATCTTGTCAGCTGCCCAACTACAAGTCAGTCAATGCCATGTCACGTCCAGAGTCGCACCCTCTTGGTGTCGCCGGGAAAAGGATGGCAAGCTTTGGCCTTGCCGTGCATTTTGTGAGTAGGCGCAGGTAAGCGTACCAGCAACGGCGATACGGCGCACGCACCGCCGACGATTCAGCTTTCAGCAGCAGTTTCGCGCAGGGAACACAAAACAACAACTACACGAGCCACCAAATCGCGGAATAAGAGGAGTCGGCTAGTCAGCGCTGACTAGCCGGATGGTCTAGTTCCGCGATTAAAGGATTTCCGCACGAAGTTCGAATACCGGCCGGATCAATTTTCTGTGCGTAGAATACGATTGACAGAACAGCAGCGTTTGCGAGGGGTTCTT